GCCCCCCCCCCGCTTACCCTTCCCCCGGCCCCGGGACCCGTGTTCCCCTTTGCCTTTGGTCCCGCGCTTGCCGGTTTCAGGGGCTTTTTTTTTGGTAGCGGGGGTACGGGGGAATTTCCCCGAGCCCAATTGGTCACGATACCCCCCCCCCCGTTTCCCCTGGGGGGTTGGCCTCCACGGGGAAAACCCAAACGTGTTTTTCCCGGGGGAAAAGGGGGGGGGGGGGGGGTGAGTCAGCGGTATCAAACCGTTTGTAGAATATCGAGTATCAAACCATTGGTGACGGTTACAACCAAGACCTTCACAGCCAACACCGCTCTCATCTCATCTCATCTCATCTCATCTGACAAAAAAAAACTAACCTGAGGGTGACGCGCGCCTGGATAAAAAGCACCTGGTACCCTACCCCCCACTAAAGTAAACGATCACGTTAAGTACTTAGCGTTTGGATGAAACAAACATCCTTTCTGGAGGAGGGGGGGGGGGACGGACTTCGTTACAATAGCGGGGATGCAGGGCCGACATCCCCGGGCTGAGGACCCAATCGATTTGGCGTTGGAAAATTTTCTCGTGTGTTTGGCATCCAATCGTTAATGCTGGACGCCGATTCTTAGACTACACCTTTCGTTACCATTTCTGCACGCATCAACCGGGGTCGTTAGTTAACCGTGGGTGACACACACCCTGGACCGGTTGGAACCGGTGTCGGCGAGATCTTTCCGGACACGCATCATTTGATTTTGGCATCCTCTTTCGTCCAGGCGTAATCGAGATTTGAACATCGCTCCAGGGGGGGTTGTATCTTGTGTCATGCCATGTACGGGATACATACAATGGTGGCCCGATACACCGCGGATTTGATTACTATGTACAACAAAAAAATAAAAAAATAAAATATCCCTCCCAACACCAACTAGCGGTGTGTGTGTCGCTACAAACGGAAAGGAAACCATCATCCCATGACCATCGCACCACCTTTGGGCAGCAGCAACAGCACCAGCAGCTGCTCCTCGTCTCGAGCTAGAGCGCGAGGCTCCTCGGTCCCCCGCGCCAGCCGTCGCTGCCACCACCCCCCCTGACGGCCCCGCCTCCATATGACGGAGCCCCAGGCCGTCCAGAAGCAGGTCCTCCAACAATCTAGTGTCCCCATCTGCGTCCCCCCCGCCGGAGGCGCCGTGAGAGGTTGTGTTGCCGCCGGCAGTGGACATGGGGCTCGTGGTGGAACCCATCAGCCTGTCGGTGGGCAGTGACGTTTTAGAGGGAAGGGGACGGGCGCAGCTTCTTTTTATGTTTTTGTCTGAGTCCATTGTGAAAAGTGGAAAGAGGGAGTCTTCCTCCACAGGCGTTGAAGGTGGTCTCCACATGTTGACAAAAAAAGACACATGAGGAGTAGGTTTGGAAAAGAGCGGAGGGATGTTGGTTCTGTATACAGGGGGGGGGGGGGGGGCGTTTAGTACCGGTGATTTCGGTTCGCACACACTCAAATACCAAGTCATTGTCAGTACTTCGAGTATTCCAGCACCATACAGGAACCTCTACTGAAAGGAGTCTATCGAAATGCATGCGACTGGTGTACCAACGCGTGGTGTTGTCGGAAGTCGTGCTGGAACCCATCAATCTGCCGGCGGGAAGTGGATTTTGTGGAGCAGTTAGTTTTGGATTTCTCTGCACTACTGCTGTATGCGTCTCCTTCCTATGTAATAGCGAACGATTCCTGGGGCGCTGTTCCCCATCCTGTACGCCGACACGCAGCCTGCGGTGATAATGTACATCGGTCGGCCCGGGATGTATGGTATACTGCGTTCGTGCGTATGTGCCGAATGTGCTACTGGACACGCCCTGCCTCCATTACTGTTGTTGTTTTTGTTGTTGTTGTCTTCACAACAAAACCCGTTCCGACCTCTCGACCAAAACCAGTACTATCTGAGGCGGGCGCCTACCGTGGTCACAAGCCAACTACCCCAAAACGGCAACACCTCTCTAGACAACCATTTGACATGTTTTTCATCGTGATAAAGTAGGTTGTGTGGTTATTGCTAAATTACGTGTGCGAGAATTGTAGGCGAATGCCATTACTGCGTATGCGTATGTGCTGCTTTACACACCTGTCGACGGCTGCATGTGCTGCCCGCATGCATCGTTCCTTCATGGTCAGAGGGAGTGTGGTACGTTATGCACGCATGCTGCGCTGAAATAAAAAGGTTCAGGGGGTGTGGCATCTTGTGTCACATAGGCTATGCTGACAATGTAAATCGATCCAGGGGGTATGGTACCTTACCCATGAAACCACGGAATTTCGCGCGTCTACCGTCTACCGTCTACCTGCATATGGAATTTGGCTGCTTGCGAGCCTTGTTTTCATCTTGAGACGGTGGAAAGCACCTAACGTACACGCGTGTGTGGTACCACTACTGTACAAACAAACCTGTCGACAGCCGCGTGTGCTGCCTCCATTGGATCAAAGCCGTCGTTTTCCATGACGTCATCGCCCTCGCCCTCACCCCAGAAGTCCGATTCCACCGACCCCGCCGGCGATGTCGTCGTCAGCTATATTAATCATCAGTGTAGGCAGGCAAGCACATACATACAATACACACATGTCGTCAGCAAGTGATACATACATACATGTGAGCTGTCATAATGCATGAATTCATACATTCAGTGTACTGTAGTTTGCTGCAACAGCACACTTCAAGTTCGATCATTCACTTCGCCGTACCGGTTGCACACGTGATGTCGACCGCTACAGTATCCGGCTTGCTCACAGTCGGCGTTCACAAATACATACCAGGTGAGGTATGAACCAGTAAGTACGGTAGGTTACATAAGGCCGATTTTCAAAGCTCAATCACCCCAGGACCAAGAGGAGGATGCCAAAATCAAACGATATGCTATTGGAAAGCTCTCGACGAGATGGTTCCAACGCTGCACTTTTCGGCACCTGTCACCGCTTTTCTTGCCTACAAATAGAGTTTCAAAAGCAGGGTCCAAGGGGTGTAATATCTTCCGTATGCAACCTACGGTCTCTTGTGCCACCGGTGTGCTTTCCTGGAGGCATGTCGGGGGGTGTGCCATCTCACGGAATATGGATCCAGCGCGCGCAACGTCTTGCTTGGTGCCCATCGGACAGGCTGAAAGAAACGAAAAATACTTCGGCCTATACTCACTCAGTCAAATGAGTCTCATCTGTTTATTTATTTTCGTCGCCACTTCAAGTCAGCTAGGCTTGCACTCGATCTGTACGCTGTTTCTCTGCGATTTGGCTACACCAGCTTTTCTTCGAATCTATTTCAGCATAATGACCCAGACCGATGAAAAAATATACGAGCACAAGCCTATCGAGTACAAGCCTAACATCAGGGCGTTTGCAGCAGTTGTGTCGTTTACTCCAACCCGTGGTCACACAGAGGAATCCTCTCCCCGAGGCTCAATACCCACCCCACCCTGCTGTGCTTGCTTTCGAATTTTCATGCGAGCAGTCACATCTACGCAGTGAAAAAGCTCACCTCTTTTGACGGGTATTGATGTCCTCATATAGTCTTTGATTCGGTGAGGTTGTTTGCCCCGAACTATAAATGCGACAGTGAAGTCTCATATGCAGTGAAAAAAGTACGGTCAAATAGGCACATTGACCCGTGATCTCACTCACCCTCTAGAATATTTGCGATAAGCCTGCTTGAGGGCGGTTAAATTGACACTGATCCGTGATCCGACTCACCCTCATGTTTCCTACACGTACTACCGTAAAATGCCAATTACACGAACACGCATCAGAGGTGTTCGCCGTACGGTAAGAATAATAACGTTAAGTCCAGGGAGGCTAATTGACACTGGTCCGTCAACTCACTCACCCTCATGTCTCGCACGTCCACCTGTGGAAGCAGCAGCGCCGCCGCGTCCATCTCCATCATTTCCATCTTGGCCTCCGACAACCCACCCCCGCTCCCCGTTGGCCTAATGCCCGACCCCATGTCGTTGACAAGGTTGGGATTATTCTCGTTGGCCTTCAGGCCACCCCCGCCTGCCATGACAACAAGAAAAAAGGCAACCATTATGAGAAGCACGCCAAGTCGAGCGTCGCATATGGTAGAGGGTGGTGTGAGACACGTCACAAGTATCTCAGAGGATCCCTGCAGGCACATCGGTTCAGGCGCTCTCGTTAGGAGCCATTGCAACACAAAAATGACGATGCATGTCGTCTTGATGCAGGTCACACTGCCTTCGCACGTCATCAGCTGAACCTTTAAAAAAACAATTTCGTAGAAAAACAATTTCGTAGCACATGGCGTCTTGGCGCAACCTCCGCATGCTATAATAAAACAGGGTGGCATACGTCAGAGCCCCCTCTACTGCAGGAATAAGAGGGTACCCAACCATACTATAGCAGGTCGAGTCCGTGACATCCGATTTCGACCCCCCATTAAATACCACCCGTCCCCCACTCCCGTGTTTGCCATCGGGGTTGGGTTTTCGTCGCTTGGCAACGACGTTGTAAAACAAGCCGCCCCCCCCGGTGTTTGCCATCGGGGTTTGGGTTTTCGTCGCTTGGCAACGACGTTGTAAAACAAGCCCCCCACTCGGTGTTTGCCATCGGGATTGGGTTTTCGTCGCTTGGCAACGACGTTGTAAAACAAGCCAATTCACTTCGTGAACTCGGCAACCAGGTTACCGTTTTTTTTTTTTACCTCGGTTTTTTTTTTTGGCGGTAACCATAATGGTGGTCGAGTAGATCATGTTGTGCGGGGTCGAGAAACCTCACTCCGCGCAACGGGGGATGATCGCACCACGTTGTGTTAAAATGGTCAAGCTTCCTCGAGGCAGTTACACAGTGCTTACAACTGTCTCTGGAAGTGAAAGCACCAGAAAATAAATTAAGTCATACGTAGCTGTCATCCGTACGCAAGGAAGTAAGCACAAGATGCCGAACACCCTTAGCAGGATGCAGCTCACCCTTCATGCGACTCGCCAAATACCTCACGGCGCTTCGCGCTTGGTGATGTGAGAGCCTGGTCCGGTGAGAACCCGGCGTGCTCCGTCCCGGCTTTGTAGGGATGCGAGGTCAATGGTCAAACGACTACGGCATGCACGACTATGAGTATGAGTACACCCCCCCCCTCCCTACCAATTTAAACCATGGAATCGCAGAAAGACATCCGGACTGCCAAGAGGGAGGCTAGGATGGCCTTCAGGAAGAACGCCCGCCAGGAGGCCCGCAAGTGAACCAACATGCAAGCATGACTGCAAAAACCAGATCGCCTCGAGGCGAAGACACGGCGCATCCTGTGGTGGGAAACAACGGTCATCAGCTGGGAAACAACGGTCAACAACGGTCATCAGCCGTGAATTGTCGGGTCAATGTGGTGTTCGGAAGGCCACCACTGTTTGTCCGCCACGGGCTCTTGCTTTCTTTATATTGCGTATTGAAGGAGTGAGCGTTTTGTGTTTGGTGTAGATACATATACATAAATGCACATATCCTTCGTCGAAGTACGAAGTGGGAAGGAAAGAGCAAAGAAAGAGTGCTCCGAGAGCGGTTGACATCTTGATCATGTGTTTCGATCTCTTGGTTGGCAATCGATGCATGCGATACTGTACTACAGTATTTTTCTTCGAGACTAGCTGGTTTGTTGGTGCTAAATGCTCGTGCGCTGGGTTGTCCTTGGGACCAAACCCCCGTAGTGATATAACACCAACCCAGTTGA